GAATATTCAAAATGTATAGTTACTGTATTATTAAGCTTAACCATTAAGCAGCAGCTCATCAAAAGTGACCTAGCCTCAAATACGCTTCTGAAACCATTCAAATGCCATCCAGTGGGGGTGCTTCTTCCTTGGGTTGCTACGGTTACAGTGCAGAGCTGTAATGCCTGAATTAAAGTGGAATAGTGTTTCTCCCAGCTCCTGAAACTGTCAGATGAAAATGATTTGCACTGCTTTACTACACTGGTTATCAGAAATTCATCTGTTAAGGGCAACAATTACTAACTTGTTTCAGAATGTGCCTCATGCAAAAAAAAAATATATATATATATATATTAAACATTTGAGTGGACAAATTAATGGAAATCAAATAAAAATAAAATGGACAATAGACTCAGTGAGTGAACAAATGTTGCCACAATTATGTAATGGTCTTTTAGAAACAGGTTGTTTGATAATGCTTAAAATATACATTTTCGGGTTCATGTACATTTTTCAAGTGCATCTAAATCCTGTTCATGAATGATACTTCCCACTACAGAAGAAATGAGACAGTGTGAGCCAAGAGACTTTCATTATGAAGTGATGAGAAAAAATGCAAAGAAAAGGAGTTGAACCATAAAGGAACGAGAAATACTTATTGAGGGTAGATTTCTTTGACTTAAACCAATAATCAGCCTCACAGCAAACCTCATAGCAACCACTTTTACCTTAGCAACGCATCAATGTCATGTAAGACCTTTAAAAAAATATATTATTGTTAGGCTTGTACTTTTATTGTCATTTTTCTAATTTATTAATAGCCAATAAAGCAATTTCTCTCTCTCTCTCACTCTCTCTCTCTCTCTCTCTCTCTCTCTCTCTCTCTCTCTCTCTCTCTCTCTCTCTCTCTATATATATATATATATATATATATATATATATATATATATATATATATATATATATATATATATATATATATATATTTATATATACCCTCAAAGAGAATGGCCTCTCTTCTTTTACCCAGGAAGCAATAGTCTCTGTAGCAAGCTTTGGTCTTGAGATTTCTCAGAATAAATCAATAAATGTATTCTTGAGTGCATTATATGTGAGTGCTAATGACTTCAAACTAAGAACAGATAAATAAACCCACAATAAGATTTGCTTTTTAATGGCACTTAGTCAATGCTAGTCATTTACGGATAATTTAATGGTTAAAATGCAAGCATACAAACAGCCGTTTAATTCTCAGTCTCCTCATGAGCCCCACAGAAAAAAAAAATCAATCTTTCTTTTTCAACAAAATCTATCTATCTATCTATCTATCTATCTATCTATCTATCTATCTATCTATCTATCTATCTATCTATCTATCTATCTATCTATCTATCTATCTATCTATCTATCTATCTATCTATCTATCTATCTTCCTGTCTGTCTGTCTGTCTATCTATCTATCTATCTATCTATCTATCTATCTATCTATCTATCTATCTATCTATCTATCTATCTATCTATCTATCTATCTATCTATCTATCTATCTATCTATCTATCTATCTATCTATCTATCTATCTATCTATCTATCTATCTATCTATCGTCTGTCATTGTTAATTCATTTGTTCTTTCTTTGTTACATTCAACACATTTTTCTTTGTCTCTATCTATCTAAACAAAGGGACAAGTTCCGTCTCACCAAGTGGCTTATTGAAAAAAAAAAAAAAAAAAAAAAACGAAAGAAAAAAGAGAACTCACAGTAAATGCCTGTGAAGTAAAGCATATACATGAAGACTTCATCAGTGTGTTTCATATAAACCTTTGCAATATAAACACACACACTGGCACTTCTGTGAAATGAGTGGCCAGAATGTGTGAGAAGTCAAGAGTGTGGCAAATCTGCTTCGACGTCTTGCTCATCTCAAATCCATCTGTTTTGCTGTGTAGTATGAGTGTCTGCTGGCGTAAGGAATGGAACTGGAAATCTCACGCTTTCTTTTTTCTCTCTCACACACTGACAATGTTTTGCAATAACATCATTCATATCCACGATGACTTGAGTATGACTCCACATAATTTGACATGACAAGAACAAAAATAATTCAAAATGAACATGCAAAGGATTGAAGAAGCTTTCCTGGGTGTTTTGGCAATGACTGACATAATCAGGTGAGAGATCTTGATGCATTACGTTTTATGCAGTGCATGTTTATTATGTTCTCTGCAGCTTCCAGCTACATTCTGTCTCTCCATTTTGAGTGTTTCATTCTGGATTGTCTCTCTGTGGTCTCCAGATGGTGGCCACTCAAGAGGTGTATGTCTGCGTGAAACTGGCAATAGAGTTTGGCAGAAGTGCAGGACACCATCAGTAGGATTATCTCTCATCTGTGCTAGATGGCAGGCTCAGTGATTTAACATGGAGTGTGGTTGAATGAAGGTCAGATATTCAAGATAATGATATATTGTCAAAAAAAGCATTGGATTAAAATGTAAATACTGCCTCCAACTTACACATAGTATACATACAACACAATTTAAAATAAACCTATTTATTTATGTACATTAAATGTTGTTCTAGAAGTATTTTCTTTTTTTAAATGTCAGTGTTGCCAGAATGTTTAAGATTTGTTTGATTTTATATGGTGGGTGAAAAGTAATAACCCACCATAGAAACAGTAATAATGGTACGTAAACATGCACACAAATTAAGGAAATGTCTCTTTTCTCTCAAACAATCAATCATATCAGTCAGAATATAAATAGACTGATAGATGACTGCATTAACCTCTGTTACATTCATTCAATCATTTTCCTTTGGCTCAGTACCCATATTCATTCACCTGTCTTTACTGTGGGGAAAATCGAAACACCCGGAGGAAACCCACGCAAACATGAGGAGAACATGCAAACTCTATCTATCTACCATTTGATGAATAATCAAATAAAATTATTATTTGATGTTCAACTTGCAAAGACATCAGTCCGAATATATAAAAATCACTTGAATATAAGCTCAGAGAAGTTTGGAAAGTAGTCTCTGAACATTTTCAGCATAGTCACAGAAAGATTATATACATTTCAATGGCTTTTTATAACAAAATAAAAAACTAATTTTCAAAATATAAGCTAAACCACAAAATTATAAAACATATTTAAAAGAAATTAGTAAAGTTGTGTAAAATGTGTAAAAAGCTCCCCATTGTGTGCGGCGCAGTGGCACAGTAGGTATTGCTGTTGCCTCATAGCAAGAAGGTCGCTGGTTTGAGCCTCAGCTGAGCTGGCATTTCTGTGTGGAGTTTGCATGTTCTCCCTGCATTTGCGTGGGTTTCTTCCCGATGCTCCGGTTTCCCCCACAGTCCAAAGACATGTGGTACAGGTGAATTTGGTAGGCTAAATTGTCTGTAGTGTGTGCGTGAATGAGTGTGTGTGTGGATGTTTCCCAGAGATTGGTTGCTGTTGGAAAGGCATCCGCTGTGTAAAAATGTGCTGGATAAGTTGGTGGTTCATTCAGCTGTGGTGACCATGGATTAATAAAGGGACTAAGCCGACAAGAAAATGAATGAATGAATGAGCTACCCCATGTTACCCCATTAAAAAGGTAATTATTGAAATGAAAGTAAAAAATCAAACAAAGTAAAAAAAAAAAAAATAAAAAATAAAAACTACATTTTTTAAAAGGTTTTTTGTGCCATCTGTTTTTTTGTTTTTTTTTTTGTCAGTGGCTTTGGTGCATTTCTCACAACACTATTTACATTTGGACAACAGATCATGTATTTCCCAAAACAATTACTCATTTGTGCACATCATAGTAGCAGTTTCTCATTCCTTCTAACAAATTGTGAATGCTTTTTCACATGCATCAATTGCTTTCATACATCTCTCTGCTGTTTTATAACATTATCATTTGCTTATGTCATGTCAGTCAAAATTAACTTAACATGTAAATGCTGAATAGTCATTCCATATAAAACTAATAGTCCTCATTTCATTACTTATGTCATTACAAACAAAAATGTTGAACTAGTTGTCAAAATCTGTCAAGCTAATTTTATTATAAAAATGTTAAATTTTTTTACCCTGAAAATGTCTTCTAAATTGAACAATTTCATGAATCATTTACAGGCCTATGTATGTTGTAGGTTCAGTTCCAAAATGTACTGCAATACTGTTTACAGTTGTGCATAGCTCTACCCAAAGGAAGTTTATGTTTGTTGTAATTAAGGGTGTATTTATTATTTTGCACAATGCTGTAAATAAACTAGAATTGCAAAGAGCATATGCAGTAAAAATGTGAAACATACATATTCAGTGTCTTGTACTCAGATACCTCACTAAATGCAGTGATGTCTAACTTTGCCAGTTTTCAAATGGCTGTGCAAATAGCATATGCTGTATTAAGCATTTTCAGGATGTCACCAAAATTTGACTTTTTGCATTGGAAAAAAAAAATCAAAGTAAACGTCAAAATAATAATAATAATAATAATAATAATAATAATAAAAAAAACATGACAAAGCCATTTGACTATTTTGTTAATAAACAATGGTGGCAGGACTTCTCATCTTGATGACACTGACATTTTTATTAACATCAATACTTGCTTTTGAGGAATGAGCTATCCATTTTGAGCAAGTGACACTTTTGCAGGTTATCAACTAAGTTTTGCAGTTTTTAATTGTTTGAGAAATGCATTAACTGTTGTGCAAATCTAAATAGTGTTGTGAGAAATGCACCAAAGCTACTGTAAAACCTGTAAAGAAAAACTGTAAAACAAAGACAGTGGTAAACGTTACAGATACAGTGTTTTATATCCATTTTGCTTCCAGTAATTTTTCCCATTACTTCTCAGCTTATTCTGTGCTGCTGTCAAACGTCTGCTTTCTTGGTCCTGATGATTCCCGTGGGGAGTTTCATTATATAAGTAGTCAAGTGTATGTCGGGAACCCGAATAGCTACAGCAGGTTGACGTAGTAGAGCCCTCACCCCTCTCTCTCTCATAAGACAGCAACACAAGTTCGCACCTTCGAGCAGATCAGAGGAGCACAGCACAGCTCATCTCACACCTGTGGATGGACGGCAGCTGAACCGCGGGAAACTTTCGTTCTCACTCTACCTAGATGAACTTTAGTTTATATTAAACACGCGTCGACTCCCACACAAACCGTGCTCGTTTTACATCTTTGTCTCCGCTTTTGAAAACGAGAAGTTGAATTCGCAAGACGCAACTTTCCAGCCCCTCACTGAGCGGGCAGAGTCCGTGAAGCGATGGAGCCGTCCGTCATTCCCGGTGCTGACATACCCGACCTTTACTCCATTAACCCGTTTAATGTCACTTTTCCCGACGACGTTTTGAGTTTCGTTCCTGATGGGAGGAACTACACCGAACCTAACCCGGTAAAGAGCCCCGCGGGAATCATCATCGCCATTTCCATCACCGCTCTTTACTCCGTTATCTGCGTTGTGGGACTCTTAGGAAACATCCTAGTGATGTACGGGGTGGTCAGGTAAGCAAGACAAAACGTTAATTCCTCCGTCCGTCCGTCCTCCTATCTATCTATCTATCTATCTATCTATCTATCTATCTATCTATCTATCTATCTATCTATCTATCTATCTATCTATCTATCTATCTATCTATCTATCTATCTATCTATCTATCCATCCATCCATCCATCCATCCATCCATCCATCCATCCATCCATCCATCCATCCATCCATCCATCCATCTATCTGAACGTAATCTGCAGTTTTTTTAGTTTATAAATTTTGCCATATTGCTAGAATTAAAACAACTTGAAGCACTTTTTAGTTACTGTCTAAAACCCCCCCCCCAAAAAAAAAAAAAAAAAAAAAAAAAAAAAAAAAAATATATATATATATATATATATATATATATATATATATATATATATATATATATATATATATATATATATATATATTACAGTTATTTTACTGAACTCTCACCTTTTGTGACATTGACCCAGCTAGTAGTGATGCATGTTGTCAGTGGACAGTAAGCTGTCACTTTTTTTTTTTTAAACAATAAAATTATTTAATTTTGAATCAAAATGTAAACATTAAATAAAACCAGTAAGCTACAACATATATGCAATAAGCCAGCATGCACACATAAATAGATAAATAAATAAATAAATAAATAAATAAATAAATAAATATCCCATTATTGTTAAATCCTACAACAAATAAAGAGCATAAAGAAAACTTAAAACCATGTTCTAGACCTCCTAGACATGACATTTGAGATAATTGCTTGCCTTAAGAACTGTTCAACCTTTCTGTCGAATCACTCATTATGTAATTGTCTGTTGTCTGGCTTTTTAATTGACCCTTTTCACCCAGTAGTTGCTGTACTATTATAAAATTATGAATTTTAAAACAAAAACATTTAAACCACATATTAAATTAATTTTAAAGTTAATGCAATAAAGCAGTGGTGACTCCTTTGCCCTGATCTCTGCATTTTACTCTATGTTGGTTTGATTTTATAAAATTAATGCGTGAGTCATAAATCTGGCTAGAAGGAGCAAATACACATTGTGAAAAATGAATCATAAATTCCTCACCATTATTAAAGCCCTTGTGTGAAAACACAGCACAGAGGTCATACATTATTTTACTTTACAGCAATTAGTTACATGCCTTAGACCACAAGGATTACACACTCTTAGATAATTGCCACAGGCTTTTTTTTTTTTTTTTTCTGGAGCAGATTGTAATGAGGGGGGAGGATGAACACATAGATTCGTTATCACGTATCGATTGTTCATCTCATCCATGATTGTAATAGATGTGCATCTCCTCCTGGTGTTAATTGAGCTGTCTGCAGCTGTCTGCACTATAGATTCTCTTATTTATCAGGTCTTTAGGTATGGACAGAGGAGAAGCTCAGTGATGATCGTGGTGAGACATCAGTACAGGAGAGCTAGGACAGGAATGACCTCATTTTAGGACCATATGATCAAAATAGCATATCTCAAGAGACAGCTCATCTCATATTTTTGTGCAGCCTGATTCATTTCATTTCAGAGTGTGGCATTCAGATGTGATAAATATCTCTCTTTGAGGTAATGTTTGCACTCTGTGAGTGGAGGCGAAGAGTAGGTGCTCAATTGACATTTCAAAGTGCACCCTTTTAAAATAAGATCCATCTAACATCACTAAAGGCCTTGGCTCACCATGTTTATGGCTTTTGCATTCTATTGCTAAATGCACCAATCTTTGTGCATGGCAGAGTATCATTTTAATTTGTCAGCTTCTAGTTGACAGCCACAGTGAGTTTTCAAGTCGCTGGGTTGTCTTGAAAATGACATGATGTGAAAAGAAACAGCACCAGCTGTGGGTTTTCGTGATGACGGTAATTGCTCTGTTCTCCTGATACTGAGGTGCGTCTACACAGATAGCTTTAATCAACACACTAATTGAACGCTAATTCTTCTTTACCTCAGAGCAAAATCGAGCAAAGCTTCAGCAGAAGATGCATTCATTTTGAATAATTAGAAAATGATAGGCAGCACAATAATTTAAATGCATTTATTAAATCACTCATATATTAATATTTCAGATTTGAAAACTGATTATTTTTGGAAAAAAAAAAAATAATCTTATATAAAATTTTAGGTGTTCAAAATGAAGCAACAAACCTGCAAAAGAAAAACAAGTTAATTTATTTCAGTCTATTTATTTATTTATTTATTTATTTATTTATTTTATGCATTTGTTTGTTTGTTTGTTTATTTTTCTCTCATTCTGATTAAAATTCCAAATTCAACATTCCTTTTCAATGTAGGCAATTTTCAATACCCTTAAATTATTCTCAACTCATGCTTCAAAGTGCTATTAAGATTTAAAGGCTTTCTTCTCATACAAGCAGTACCTCACTGTGAAAACCATGAAATAAACAGTCATTTAGCAGCAGTGGTCACAAGCAACAAAATGTGCTGAAATTGCAGCAGTAAAAAAATTCAATCTTCCAAGCATTATTTTATGAGCAAGCCTGAACACAGGAAATGATAGATTGAGGGAGAACAGAGAGTAACATAAAATGAGCTCATTTTGTAATGGAGGGAAAAGAAAAATATCCAGAATTACAACCAGACCACACCGCCTTGCAGTCAGACATCAGAACAAGGTGAACGTCAGTGCTATAAGGCTGATGATGATTTTGGATCACACAGTTGAGCAGTAGCTCAAGGCACTTGTCAGTGGTCTATCTGAGGGTCTTTTCATCAGCCGTCACTAAGAGCTCTGCAAATGAGAAAGTCTGCTTCTGATTATTAAGATGAGACTGGACATGAAAGCCTGTGCTTGTGCAATCTTTAAACAACAGCATTATTCTGTGCAGGAAATTAGCCTGTCTTTTAAAAGTATAGCATCACTACTCTATTAGGAGGAATAGGTGGAGAGGAACACTCTGTAATAGAGTTTGAACTAGTGTTCAGTCTGTAAATGTCACGCGTGTTGTTGTTTTACCACCATATAGTGGTGGCAATTAGTAGCAGATAGAACTTAGAGGCAGTTTTACAAGATGTATGCCCACAACATTTATACTTTGATCTACAAAGCCAAATGCCATTTTCTTGGAAGAAGAGAAAAACCTAATGGACGGTTGTTCAAAATTGTTAAATAAAGATTGTAATGTAGGAATTATTTGTTTTCTCAAGTTTTTCAAATCCCATTTAAAAACAATGTGCCTGAACTAGAGCTGCATGAATCAGAAAAATCTAGCATTGCACTTTTTATCTTTTAATTCATTTTGCAATATATATTGCCATATGAATACAATTTCACCAGCAGTGGGAGTGCATCTCTATAAAATCTAATAAACCATAGCTGCGTCCCAAATGGCACACTATACACTATGCACTCATGCACTATGTACTTATGCACTTACACACTCAACAACATAGTATATGTATGTAGTGTTGTCCCAAATGGAGCAATAATGTTTTTTTTTTTTACTAGGCGAAATTCAACCCTTTCACAGAAGACGTTGGACGGTTTCCAGTAGCTGTGTTTCCATCCACCTATTTTTATGCACAATTTGTATGTGCGCATAAAAAAAAAACGTTTAATGGAAACGCCATGATGAGCATACATTTTGAAAATGTGCATAAAAAACGTATGCGCATGAGCAGGATAAACTTTTTATTTGATAAGAAAAAATTAGCATAAGCTACGATGGAAACACTTTTACCGCACAAATTTCAGTATGCGGATTAAAAAAAAAGTAATGTGATTCTGTTATAAGAGATCATGTGATGATGAAAATGTGTGTAAATGGACACACCAGCAGGCTGAGCACATTGTAAAACTTCGGAACTGTTGTTTTGATCATTCTAAAACGCCTTACTGTTAAAATATTTGCGTTATTATATTATTAATGACCTCCAGAATCAAGTGCGTCTGTGCTCTGCCACCGCGCGTTCACTGTGTGTCAGGATTGCCTTCTGTGGCGCAAGTCATTTATTAGATGAAGAAAAGATTGACGCAGCTTCTCTTACTGCAGCAAATTCAGTTTTTACTGTTGATATTTGGCGCCAGTTAATTAGAAAGTGATGATTTTGTTTGCTTTGACTCGTTGGATGAAAACGCTGCTTTATTTGCACATCTTTTATGAAATTTAAAAACATAAAATTTATTCACATTTTTGGATGGAAACATAGCTACAGAAATAAATGAACAAAGTACCAAATAATACCTGCCATGAGTATGAACTCATTCACAATCGGGAGGTGCTATAATCACTCTCATAGGAGAATTTCACAATTCAAAATAAATAAAGTTATCCAACATGTGCGCCCGATAGCCCCGTCCCTTTCACTGTGTGAGCAAAACTTGAGTGCGTGAAGTGTCCAACATTCCACACTTCATTTTCATGTCAAATGAGTGCATCATTCAGGTAATTAAAGTGCACTTATTATTTTTATTGTTTTCAGTGTAAACCCACTACTTACACTATTTACACAAAAAAATGGGAGAGGGGTCTGGCTGCAGACTCAGTGCAGTGCAATCTAAGCTGCATCCAGTACTTTTTAATGGGCTCACCTAACCCCACCCCTAACCCTACCCGTCACAGTGACGTCACTCACTCCATTGAGTGCATTGTGTCTGACATTGCATCGCTGAGTGATGCAATTTCAGCTTGCATCATAAAGGCTGCATCCAGATACTATTGCAAAATGGTGTAGAATAGTGCATAAGTAAGCGATTTGGGATGCACCTATTCTTTTTGGGCTCCCCAACACATTTCTATGTGGTCTGCTATCTGCAGTGCATTTCTGTTTTTGTATTTCTGTATTTGTATGTGTTGTATTTTCATTTATAACAATCTATAAATACAATTGAAAAAAGTGTTTCCTTTTTCTGAGCCTAAGAGTATTCAAATACTTATTATGCCTGAATGCTTTTAAGGTCATTATACAATCACAGGCATCAAAACCACATGCAAATGATGAATTTTAATCCAGACTCAACATTTCGT